GACTGAGCAATGCTTGAATGGAGGAAGAGAAGGGAGCCAGAGCCTGAAGACCGAGACCACTGAATGCTGACCGCAGGCAAAGCTCCCTGATCACCCAGCTGCATCCTCTCTAAGGGCAAAGCTGGGTGGAGCTGCTGCTATCTAAGGGCTCTGGCTGGTGGGTTGGGTCAGTGGTCAGCAGTGGATACAGAAGACTCTTCCTCAGTCAGTTTCTTTCCTGCCTTGTCTGAGCTACTGGTTGTTGAGGGAACCTGCTGCTTCTTCTCAACTCTGGGACTTTGCTCCTGATCCTTCTTCCCTGTCTTTTTCTCCTGACTTTCCTACTCATCTTTGAACACCTAGCTTAAGGCCACTTCCTTTTTTTTGTTGAGACGGAATTTCACTCTTATCCCCCAGGCTGGAGTGCAATGGTGAAATCTTGGCTCGCTGCAACCTCCGCCTCCTGGGTTCAAGCGATTCTCCCACCTCAGCCTCCCACCTCAGTCCCAGCTTGTAGCTGGGACTATAAGCACGAACCACCACACCTGGCTCAGTTTTTCTATTTTGGTAGAGATGGGGTTTCAGCATGTTGGCCAGAATGGTCTTGATCTACTGACCTTGTGATCCACCAACCTCGGCCTTCCAAAGTGCTGGGATTACAGGTGTGAGCCACCGCACCTGGCCTATTATTATGTATAACGGGAGTCCCTGTAAATTAAAACCATTGTTTATTATTGATTGCATAGTCAGTCATCTTGCTAAATTCTTTTATTTCTAATAATTTATTGATTCTTTTGGTTTTGACCTAATCTCATAATCTGCCCCTATAGTTGTGCTTCCTCCTGTCTGAAACTTACTCCTTCAATTTCACTCTCTTTTCTTATGATCTGACTTTGACCCTGCAGCAATGCTAAGTAGAAGGGTGAGAGCGGTCATTGTCCTCATCTGGATTTTAAAGGAGATGCTTCCTACATTCCCCACAAAGAATGATGTGCTCCCGCAGCATAGTTCCCCAACCTTTTGGGCGCCAGGGACCTGTTTTGTGGAAGATGATTTTTCTGTGGAGGGGGCGAGGGTGGCAGGTATGGTTTCTCATAGGGAGCACACAGCCTAGATCCCTCACATGCTCAGTTCACACCAGGGTTCGAGCTCCTGCGAGAACCTCCTCCCGCAGCTCATCTGACAGGAGGTGAAGCTCAGGTGGTCATACCTGCTTACCTGCCACTCCCCGCCAGCTGTGCAGCCTGGTTCCCAGCAGGCCACGGACCAGTACGTGACGGTGATGGGGGACCCCTGCCATAGCCTTTCAGGAAATGAAGGTCATCAGTGGGTTTACCTTCTTTCAGGCCTATTTATTGATTTCTCTCCACTAATCTTTAGACCTTTGACTATAGACACTGCATTTGCCATGAACTGGACTCACTCCCCCAGGGTTGAACTTGGCAGAGACGGGCATAGCCAAGGCTCCAGGCTGTCTGCTCTACCCTGAGGCTGCCCCTGAGTCCGGCCCTCTGCCCCATCTCCCAGTTCTCACTCCTACCACTAGGCCTCTTGCCCACGTCTGGTTGATTATGAGAGGTGCGTGGGAAAACTTCACCTTTCTGTTCGCACCCAGGAGCGGATGAACAGACCCAGGGATTAGGTGTTTGTCAGGGTCTGTCTTCAATCCTGGCTCCTAACCTCAAGCCAAACAAGGCCGCAAACCAAATCCAGCCCAGAGCATTGGCCCAGCCATCTGTCCCTTGCCACAGGCTACATCTTCGCTAGTGGTGGGAAGTTCTTTGCCAGATTCTTGCTTGATATTCTTCAGGGAGACCCAAAAAGCTGGGTGGGATGCAGTGACACTCTGGGGAGTATGGCTCCCACACAAGGCAGATAAATAGACCTCCCTCTCTCTCCTTCACCTTGGAGACCCTGTGCCTCAACAAACTGTGCCCCCTCTTCCTCCTTGTCCATCAAGCCCAGGCCTTGAAGCCTCCCAGCTCTCTCTCCCTTTATACTACACGCCTTATTAATATCACTTTATCATTGACAGGTGTGAGGCAGATGCTTCCTCTCCTAAGGGGTGGTGGAGGGAGACAGCCCTCTTTGGACAATAGCCAGCATCTGGCCACACACAGATGGCCCCCCTTGGACCCAGCTGTGGGAGTGACCCCAGGTCTTCTCAGAACCTCTGGTTTTATGCATGATTTCTGTTTTCTGGAACTGTCTGGCTTTCTCACAACTCCATGTATCTATCCATCTCTAGTTAGCACACAGGGAGAAATATAAATATTTGTATTTTGTAGACAGACGTTATGTTTAATAAAGAAGCCGAACTCCCACGAGGGTCTGCGGGGTTGCAGTGGCCACCTGATTGTTCATTTTGTACCAGGCTCCTTCGGTAGAACAGCAGCCAGGTACTATGCTCTGAGTCTTTGTGCCCCTTCGAAATTTGTGATGAAACCCTCACCGTCAGTGTGACAGTATTTGGAGGCAGAGCCTTTGGGAGGTAATGAGGTCATGAGGGCAGCGCCACTGTGAATGGAATTGGTGCCCTTATGAAGGAGACCTGAGAGAGCTCTGTCATCCCTTCCTTCTGCGAGGACACAGCAAGAAGGGGCCATTTATGAGAAGACGGGTTTTTGCCAGATACGGACTCCGCCAGTGTTTTGATCTTGGACTTCCCCACCTCCAGAATCGTGAGAAACGAATTTCTGTGAAGCCACCTATTTTCGTTACGGCAGCTCCAGCAAACTGCTAAGACACCAGGTGAGGGGTCTGGGCCCTGGAGGGCCATTGGTACAGTTGGGCCTTGGGGACATGCTTTTGGAAGCCCTGCCTGACATTCTATAGAACATATTAAAAGATCCCTGACATTTCACATTAAATAAAAATTTGACATAAAATAATTAGAAATTATCTGGGGACATTTCTTTCTCTTCTTTTTGTTACAAAAGCATACTTTTAAATTTTGTTATCTTTTTGATACGTACAAAAAGGAAACAAAGAATAATACAATACAAATCTGTGGGATTCACCACCTAGCTTAAGAATAAAATGTTACCCAGAGGATTGAAGCATCCTGTGTGCCCTCTCTGACCCACTCTCCTCACAGCAGAGGTAACTACCACCCTAAGTTTGGAGGATATTATTCCCACTCATTTCCTTAAACTTTACATATATGCCTGATGGAGATCTAAAGTGTTTGCCTTTTTGTCAATTCTATTACAATGATCTATTAAAATAATTTTTGTAATTTTGCGTGTGAAGTTATTTGGTTACATAAGTTAGGATTGTTCTCGTTTTTTAGTCATCATCACTCACTTAAATTCTTGAAGAAGGAGAAAAATCTAGCCAATAAATTCAAGTGTTACGTTTCTGATATAGTTAATAAAGTTGAAATTATAGTGTTTTGTGGACATTTAAAAAATGGGTCACTCATTTTGACTTTGCAAGTTTCCTTTCATATTTAGAGGCTGGTAATTTTTTCCCCCAAGTCTTGTAAATGTTTATGTGGGTCTGAAAACCTCCAGGACTCAGCACTTTAAGGACGTCACACTGCTGCCTCTCCAGGCTCACCGAGGGAGCCCTCCACGGGCGCACAGCAGCAGTGTGCCAGGAGCCACACTAAAGGTGGTAGTTTGGAGCATCCAGACAGAGCCAGGCCCCTGTCCTGCGCATTTCATATCTGCTAATTCACTTCCTCCTGTAAGGTAGGTGCTACTGACAGCCCATTTTCCAGAAGAAGAAATAGGCACCCCATGGTCACGGTCAGGTAGGAAGGGGCGGGGCTGGGATGTGAACCCAGGTAGTTTGCACACTTTGCGATGCTGCCTCCCATTTTCTGAGCCCTACATGTACATACACGTATGTGTATTTTCTCAGACTCCTCATGAAAACCAGGAAGTATCTCCATTTTACAGGAGGGGAAACTGGCCCAGAGAGGCTCAAGGACTTGCTCCAGGTCACACAGCTGAAAGGGACAGATTCTGTGATTCCAAACACTGCCTGTGCCTTTAAGGACTCCACACAACTGCCTCTCTCAAACTTGGCACAAGGCAGCCAGGCTGAGCTCCCCACCCCAACTCACCACCTCCATCTCACCCCTCTTTCTGCTGCACAGCCTTGCCAGTGGGGTTGAGGTAGGGTGGGGGGAGGTCCTATAGGTGTGAGGAGAGGGTGTAGATAGGCACCAGGGGCCAGAGAACCTGACCTCAGGTGCTCTGCCTCTGTTAGCTCAGGGCCCTTGGGGTTGGTCAGAAGGGGGCTATTTGCAGGTCCTTGGCCCAGGCCTGGCCTCTTTCCATCCCTCCCCACCATCCTTCTCTCTCCCTGGGCTGTTCTCTTGCCCAGGGCAGGTGGGAACCTGGCTGGTTGCTTCCCAGGTGCGATAGTCTCAGCTGGCTGCCTCTCCTCCCCCAGGATTGAGGCTTATCAGTCATCAGAATTATTCCTGCCATGCGGACCCAGCTCAAGGTCATCCCCAGAAGGTCCCAGCACCTGCTTACTGCACAGAACCTGTCTGCCTTGCCTAGAAATGTGGAGAGAGGGGGTGGCTGGTTTTTTTTTTTAGGAGCCAGATCCTTGCCTGGAGTCCTCTATATTCCAGCACAGGGAACGAAGCCAGAGTCAAGTTAGAAGATAAAAGGACAGCAGGCTTTAGACCAGATGACCAAGGTTTGGTCCCAGGCTCTGTGCCTCCCTCCTATAACCTTAGACTGGCCACTTCCTCTTTCTGGGCCTCAGTTTCCCCAACTGGAAAGGGTGTTGTGGGAGCAGACACTCTCCAAGATCCTTCTCTTCTAGGAGCGTATGACTTAATCTGTCCCCTGCACCAGAATCTTGAGTTTGTGACAGTATTGAGTTTATTATATTTATGATACGATTATATCTCATATTATAAATTCATTTTTCTGCACAGAACCTGTAGGTAGAAATACTGGCAAACTCATCACCTGCCCTCTCGGGAAGAAGCCTCACTGACTGCTCAGCCAAGAAGGAAGGAGGAGACTAAGATGGATCTCACATCTAGGGGAGAGAAGGAGGAAGCAGAGGCGGAAGTGGGAAGTGGGAGGGAAGCACGGCTTTCCAGCCTGGCAGTGCAGCACTAGAGCAGTAGATGGAGCTTCTGAGAATGGGATGCCTGAACCTTACTGCAGCCAATCAAAGCAGAATTTCTGGGAGTAGAGCTGGGTATGGGTGGTTTTTGGAAACACCCCAGATGAGTGTGATGTGCCATGAAGGTCAATAACCACCATTTAGGAGCAGTGGTTCTCAAACTTTGGCGTGCCTCTGAACCCCCTGAAGGTCTTGGTAAATACAGGATGCTGGGTCTCACCTACAGAGTTTCCCACCCAGCAGGTCTGAATGGGGTCTGTATTCATTTCCTGTGGCTGCCGTACAAATCACCACAAACTCTGTGACTTAACCAACAACACAAATCTATTCTCTTACAGTTCTGGAGGTGTGAAATTAAAAATGAGTCTCACTGGCTACCATCAAGGTGTTGGCTGTGCTCCCTCTAGAGGCTCAGGGAGAATCTGTTTCCTAGCTTACCACCTCTTTTAGAGGCACCTGCACTCCTTGGCTTGTGGCCTCTTCCTCCATCTTCACAGCCAACAATTGCATCATTCCAACTTCTGCTTCCATCATCCTATCTGCTCTGTCTCTGGCTCTCTTGCCTTTCTCTTTCACTTGTAAGGACCCTTGCGATTACACCAGACCCGCTCAGATCATCCAGGATGACCTCTCCCTGTCAAGATCCTTAACCTAAGCACATACAAAAAGTCCTTTTTGCCATGTAAAGTAACAGGTTCCAGGGACTAGGATGTGGACATCTTTGGTGGGGGTAGGGGGTGGGGGCATCATTCTGCCTCCCACAGGGCCTAAGAATTTATATTCCAAACAAGCTTATAGGTGATGCTGATGTTGCTTGTCTGGAGACCATGCTTTGAGAACCCTACTTTAGAGTCTCTGGAAGATGAGATCTAACTGAGCTGCAGCTGCTCTGGAAAGTCAGTCTCTAGGAGTAGAAATGGGGAAGGAGGATTTTAGCTAATGTTAGCTGATCTGATCTCTCCTTGTCCAGAAAATGTAGAAACAAGAGAAACAAAACCTTCAGGGTAAGAGCAGTGTTTCCTTTGGATGCCACATGTTGGGACATTCCCTTAAAGTGGGAGCACACAGGCTCAGCCGATTTGATTTACAGGCAGGATGGAGTAGCATAACATCTTTTTCTTCAAAAGCATGGGATGCTACAAGTGGGACCCGCACAAAGACAGAGTCCATGGCTGGATGGTGTTTTGAAGACATCTCTCTGTACATGAAAGTGCTCCAAAGGCTCATCTCCCTGCAGACTTTGACCTGTTGGTACCTGCCACCTGGAGTGTTCTCCTTCCATCTCTCTTTTCTATAACATTTGTTTTTTTTTTGAGACCAAGTCTCACTGTGTCACACAGGTTGGAGTGCAGTGGCACAATTTCGGCTCACTGAAACCTCTGTCTCCTGGGTTCAAGCAATTCTCTCGCCTCAGCCTCCTGAGTAGCTGGGATTACAGGTGCCTGCCACCGCACCCAGTTCATTTTTGTATTTTTTTTTTTTTAGTAGAGACGGGGTGTCACCATCTTGGCCAGGCTGGTCTCAAACTCCTCACCTCATGATCTGCCTGCCTTGGCCTCCCAAAGTGCTGGGATTACAGGCGTGAGCCACTGCGCCTGGCCTTTTCTATTACATTCTAACCTCTTCTTCCCTAACTTCCTTTTCCCTTCCCTTTTCTTCCCTTCCTATCGGGCCATGTTCAACCCCCACTAGAAACACTCTCTTCTGGAGCACTGCGTCCATCTCCTTCCAGGTTTCACTGGCTGTTTCTCTCCATTTCTCAACACTTTCTATGCCAGCTGAGAATGATGCTCATTTAATCATTGTTTGTGTATTGTTCACTTATTTGCATTATGTCTGGCTTCAGAAAGGACTTAAGTGGGTCTAAGATGATGGAAGAACCCAAGCTCTATGTCGTGTTTGAGTTTGAATCTGCTGGAATTACTTTTACTTTCTTTTTATTTAACTTGCACAGCCAGTAAAGAGAAAAACTCCACCAAGGAGTCAGATTTTTCTAACAGAAGAACCTATGGTTCATTTGTAACCTAAGTGAGCAAGCTTTAGTTCCTTCCACAGACATTTTCTATATTAAATGAATAATATACTTTGTTTGCGGGGCTTCCCAGGTTGGAGGACCCTGTACTTAACACTCGATAGCCACCCCTGGAAAAACTCGGGATTCATTTGCTCAGGAGACTTTTTGCTTCTTCTTGGAAGAACCCAAAAGAGACAGAGGCTTGCAATTTAAATAAAAGCCTTTTTCCCCCAGTTTGTCTGGTGTCCTGATTCTGGTTTTTGTTTTTTTTTTGAGACACATTCTCACTCTGTCACCCAGGCTGGAGTGCAGTGGTGCAATCTCAGCTCACTGTAACCTCCGCCTCTGGGTTCAAGTGATTCTCCTGCCTCAGCCTCCCAAGTAGCTAGGACTACAGCTGTATGCCACCACACCCAGCTAATTTTTGTATTTTTAGTAGAGATAGGGTTTTACCATGTTGGCCAGGGTGGTCTCCGTCTCTTGACCTTGTGATCTGCCCGCCTTGGCCTCCCAAAGTGCTGGGATTACAGGCATTAGCTACTGCACCTGGTCTAATTTTTGTATTTTTAGTAGAGATGGGGTTTCACCATGTTGGCCAAGCTGGTCTCGAACTCCTGATCTCAAGTGATCTTCCCACCTCTGCCTCCCAAAATGCTACGGCCTGAGCCATCACGCCTGGCCTTGGTGTCTTGATTCTTTATGCTCTTGAGATCCTTGGAATATATATGTTCTTCCATACCTCCCTTCCATTTCCTTCACTGAAATTTAAAGTGACATAACAGTACCCTGTAGTTTTTTTTCATTTTAACCAAGCCTAAATCAAAGTGATGTTTTTAGATTATAACTCCTATTTTCTTTTAGGAATTCATAAAATGAAGCAGGATTATTTAAGTCAAAGTAAATAAGAATAAATAGGGTAAAACAAGGCTAAGGACATAAAATTGAACCAGTAATGAAGCTACTGTAAAAAGACCTGTCATGGAATTGTGCATTTTTGCTGCAAGTGGGAACATATTTGGTGTGAGGTTTCCTGGCAGCCAAGACTAAAAGGGAAAACTAGTTAGTTACACAGTTCATAACCGTCCGTGTGGTAGGAAATTAAACTACTGCTTAGGAATCTACAGCTGAAAGACTAGAAAGACCCTGTGGAAAGCGGGAAGTCACACCCTCAAGAACATCTTTCCAATAGGTTCAAAGACGAGTTTTATGAAACATTTCTTTTGGCAGAGCACAGGAGAGTGAAACTGATTCATAGGGAATGTTGTGAGTCGGCTCGGGGATTCATTTCTCTCTTGTTCTGGCTTAAACCTGGGTTAATTTTAGAGTATCCGAATCATCTGGTTGAGCTTAAAGGCGCATTAGATTCCCAGAACAAAGGTCAGCCGATTAGGAAGCATCCTGATAAGTGCAGGCACCCTAAAGTCCAGCCCTATTGGCCGAACCAAATATATTTCTGGGCTCATGTGATTTAGAAGCTCAGTGGTAGTTTTAGCATCAGACAAGACTTTACCCAGAGCCTAAATGCTCTCACCAGGGCCTGGTTTCTTTCTCTGCATTTCCCAAGACTATTTTCATGGTGTTGGCTTCACGTTCAGACAGGCTTGTGAGCTCTCAGGACAGCTCACAGGGCTGTTGGCCCTTCACAATGTTACGTCGATACCAATGGTTAAAATGGACACCCTGCACTCACTGGTAAATAGCCACTGTCCCGAGCCCTCCAAGTCCGGGAATACCCTGGACCTCCCCAAAATGCAACTCAAGAGTTAAAGCTCAGCATAGCCACGGGCCTAAGTCCTTCCTTCCTATGCTGACTTGTCAGATTAGTGGTAAGTCAGATTTTGAAAATCATTCCTCTATTTCCTCTTTATATTGTTGGGGGAAGAGAAGGTGTTTTTCCCACCATTCTCAGTGGAGTCCTGAGTTTCAATCTGATTGGGTTACATTAGGTCACACACTCATCCCTTAACCGATCACCCTAGACTGGTAAGCACTAGTTAACCTAGGCTAGGTTACATATCCGACCCTTGACCTCACTAGACCCAGGATAAGCAGCTTGTCTGGGAACAGGGAGCAGAAACAGTGGAGCAGAAACTCTTGGGTTTTAGAATCAGACAGATCCAGGTTAGTTCATTTACTCATGAATTCAAAACACTGCATGTAATGCACCAAATAAAATAGACCTAGTTCCAGCCCCAACAGAAACCTTAAACCAGTATATCGGTTGTCTATTGCCAGGTAGCACACCACTCCAAAACCTAGTGACCTAAACAATGACAATTTTATGTGCTCACCATTGTATGGGTCCCCAGTTTGGGCTGGACTCAGCTGGGCGATTCTTCTGGACTAATTTGTGTGGCTGCAACTGGAGCTGGATAATCTAAATGGTCTCACTCTTGGGTCTGGCCGTCAATGTTGGCTGTTGGCTGAGCCAGGGGATTCCAGCAGGCCAGCGTGGGCTCTTCCCTCAGCAGCAGGGTTCCAAGAGGACAAGCCCAACGCACATGTGCGTTTCAAGCCTGTGATTATGAGGGCTGTACTACAACAATCTGCCGCAATTAGTAACAACCACATAAGAAAGCAATGACAAGGTATGATTACCCCTGTGAGAGAGGGTTACTATTCCAAGTGGCACCTGAGCCAGCAGCATTGGCTTCACCTGGGGCTTGTTAGAAATGCAGCATCTCAGGCTCCACTGCAGGTCTGTGAAGTCAGAATCTGCAGTTTAACAAGGTCCCCAGGAGATGTGTGTGTATGGTTAAGTTTCAGAAGCTGGTGACTACTGGGGGGGGACCAAGGAGTGAAGGAGGGGAAAGAAACAGCACAGCTAATTTATACCACTGGGTGTGCTTCCCACATCCTCCCAGTTTCTGCTGTGACCTGGCTACCAGGCCAGCAGGGACCTTCTCCCACTGTCCTGGGGCCCTACAGGAGGGCCCCACATTCACAGTCTCACAGTGAGGACAGCTTTGGTTCAGTGGGTATCACCCAGAGGCAAGCACCTAAAACTGGACTTCCACTGGGCTTGGCAGGGAGCTTGCCCCTGAAAGGTGGGGACAAATGGGGCCCCTGTTTATGTATACACAGTTCCAGGCAGCAACAGAGGCCAATGTTGGAGCAGCCAGTTCTGGGATCCCTAAAGACCCCTAGGAAAGCCAGACCCTCAGGGCTGTTTGGTCCTTCAGCCCCTCACCTGGCATGGAGGGTGATGGTGAGTTGTCAGGTTCATAGTCAAAGGCTGTGAAGAGGCTTTCCTGGTGGGCAGGTGGGTGGCATTCGAGAATGCTCTGCTAGAATGACTGTATGTCCCATTTGCACAGGGCAGTCCTGTGGACACCTGCCATCCTGTTTTTGTAATGATTAATAAGGCCCCTTCTCATTCTGCTTTGGATAAGAAATTAAAAGGGTCACTAGTTAAAGGGTGAGTTTAATCTCAGAATGCAGGAAGGTGCCTCTGAAAGAGCGCTGGACCCTGAATCAGGAATAGGAACTCTTGTCTTGCCCTGCTGCTGACAAGGTGGGGGACCTCAGGCATATTTGTTTGTCCCTCTGGCTTCAGTTGCCATATGTCTGAATTGAGGGGTTGGATCAGACAATCCCTGCTGGGGAGTAAATGAATGTGTTGTCCTTGGGGTTCTGCTCCATCAGCTCCATGTTGATGAGGACCTTGTTCTCTCTCTAGCATCTTTGGTTCTGTGTCCTCTGGGGACCTCACATTCTGCTAGTTCCTCCCCCAGTCCGCAGCTTGCAGGAGCCCTGGACTAGTGTCTCTGAGGCTCTGCCTCGGGGCTCTGTGCAAGTGGGGCCGCACTGCCTGTCCGCCTGCCTACTCCCCCATACTCTGCTCCACTGGTATCCTTCTTTGGCTTGAACTTCCCAGCTGTGTGACATTTGGGACAAATAATCACCTGTGACTGTTTCTCCATCTGCCTTGGGAGATAGTGATGTCATTCTTGCAGGATCATGGATAATGCACATAAGGTGTCTGGCCCATCATAGGAACCCACCAAGGCATTTCTGTGCCTCATGTCTTAAAGTTGACCACCTGGAGGGCTCAGCTCAAGTCTTCAATGAGTTGAGAATTAAAGGAAGTGATTTGCAAGTGTGAAGGCTCTAGAAGTTGTAATACTCTGCAACACTCTGAATGTTTTTTTTTGAAAAATTATTTGTTTATTTATTTAGAGACAGGCTTTTGCTCTGTCACCCAGGCTGGAGTGCAGTGGTGTGATCACAGCTTACCGCAGCCTCCAACTCCTGGGCTCAAGCTGTCCTCACACCTCAGCTTCTCAAGTAGCTGGGACTACAAGCATGTGCCACCGTGCTCAGCCAATTAAAAAAAAATATTTTGTAGAGACAGACTCTCACTACATTGCCCAGGCTGACCTGGCTTCAAGTGATCTTCCTGCTTTGGCTTCCCAAAGTGCTGGGATTACAGGCATAAGTCATGAAATTAGTATACATTCTCTAACTTTTTTGTTCTTGATTGAAATTGTTCTGACTATTCTAGTTCCATTGCCTCTTTTTTTTTTTATTTGAGGTGGAGTTTCACTCTTGTCCGGGCTGGAGTGCAGTAGCGCAATCTTGGCTCACTGCAGCCTACACCTCCCAGGTTCAAGCAATTCTCCTGTCTCAGCCTCCCAAGTAGCCGAGATTACAGGCACCTGCCACCATGCCCGACTAATTTTTTGTATTTTTAGTAGAGACAGCGTTTTGCCATGTTGGCCAGGCTGGTCTTGAACTCCTGGCTTCAGGTGACCCACCCACCTAGGCCTCCCAAAGTGTTGGAATTACAGACGTGAGCCACTGTGCCCAGCCCCATTGCGTTTTCATACAACCTTTAAAATCACCTTGTCCACTTTAAAAAAAATCTGCTGGAATTTTTATTAGAATTGCACTGAATCTAAATCAGTGTGGGAATAATTTATATCTTGTATTTTTAGTAGAGATGGAGTTTCACCATATTGGCCAGGCTGGTCTTGAACTCCTGACCTCAGGTGTTCCACCTGCCTTGGCCTCCCAAAGTGCTGGAATTACAAGTGTGAGCCACTGTGCCTGGCCTCTTTGACTTTTTTTTTAAATTAGTGTTTTAAAGTTTTCAGCAGACAGACCTTGCACATATTTTGCTAGATTTATACCTAAGTATTTCATGTTTTCTGGTACTACTGTAAATCGTTCTTCAAAATTTTTTTCAAATTCCAATTGTTTGTTGCTAACATATAGAAATATATATATTTTTATGTTGACCCTTCCCTTTTATTGTTAATCTTCATTATGGATTAACTTTCCTCTTACCTTTCTCACACAAAGACTTTATGGCTATCACAATGTCCTAAGATGGAATGGTAAATACACTCTTTTTGTCTTTTTCTCCCGAGACCAAGTCTCGCTCTGTTGCCCAGGCTGGAGTCCAATGGTGCAATCTCAGTTCACTGCAGCCTCTGTCTCCCCAGGTTCAAGCAATTCTTTGCCTCAGCCTCCTGAGTAGCTGGGATTACAGATGCCAGCTAATTTTTGTATTTTTAGTAGAGATGGGGTTTCACCATCTTGGCCAGGCTGGTCTTGAACTCCTGACCTCGTGATCCACCTGCCTTGGCCTCTCAAAGTGCTGGGATTACAGACATGAGCCACTGCGCCCGGCCAATACACTCCTTTAAATCGAGTGAAGAAATGAAAAGCAGCTGTAAAGAAAGAAAAACAAACTGTAGAGAGAAGAAAACAGACTACAGCTAACTGATTAATATGTTGTAACTCTTAAATCACTCTTGTATAGAAATGCTGTAATCCCATTACATTTCTGTGTTTTCTACGTGTACAAGCAAAAGCTTAACTCTTAACTTTGGAGCACTGATCCCATTTCTCTGGAGTCTTTGTCTCCTAGATGACCATTTTCACCTTCTCACTTGAATCAACTTTAAACTGGATTCTGATCCTTTTCATTCTTTCAGGTTTACAGAAAGAAGATTCGAGCTTCAGCAGGCCAGGTCAGTTGGACAAGGTGACTTTTAAGCCCGCTTCTAGCTTCATGAAAACAAATCTGAAACTTGCCCGATCTCAGGAATGGTGGTGAAAACACCGTGTACCCGAATGGTCTGGTGACAGGTGTGTCCTGTGCACTCAGTGTTCTCTAGGTCCTGGGAGGAGCAGGTTGTCTAAAAGGAGATGCCAGCATCCTGATGTGCTCAGCAGTGTCATCTCATTCACCAGATAGGCAGCCCTTGTACCCCTCCACTAAGGCTAACTGCCAGAAGGGTGAGGTGCGGGTGGGTTTTATTCACTGCTCCATCTCAGAGGCCAGCAAAGTGCATGGAGGAGGAAGAAATCTCTAGTGTTTATAGATAGAGCAACACTCCCACCCTGAAAGGACACAGTACGACAGGTGATTGGGGGAGGTAATTACAGGCAACAGATTGTTCAAAACAACTACATTTGGACGAGTCTATTTTCGCAAAAAAATGAAAACTCAGTGTTCCTTTCAAAATGAAAACTTTCTTTTTCCACTATCAATTATTTCAGTCTCAGATATGCCCTGTTCTGTTTCTCCCACAATATATGACTTAATAAACAATACAGTCGAATATTTATAAGGAAGTTATTTTAAAACTGTGGTTCAAAATCGCATCTGATTTTTTCACTTGACTTTTGTAGTATAGTTAGTTATTTTTGTTTGTTGTTGCTTTTTGAGAGGGTCTTGCTCTGTCGCCCAGGCTGGAGTGCAATGGTGCTATTTCAGCTCACTGAAACCTCCCCCTCCTGGGTTCAAGTGATTCTCCTGCTCCAGCCTCCCAAATAGCTGGGACTCCAGGAAGGTGCCACCATACCCGGCTAATTTTTTGTATTTTTAGTAGACACAGGTTTTCACCATGTTGGCCAGGATGGTCTCGATCTCTTGACCTTGTGATCTGCCGCCTCAGCCTTCCAAACTGCTGGGATTAGAGGTGTGAGCCACTGCACCCAGCCATTTTTGTTTTTAATGACATTGCCAGGGTTAACTTTTTCCAAGAGTAGTTTTTAACAGTAAAAAATGGGGGGGGGGGAATATAATAAATGGCCAAAGAGGTTAAATAAATTATGTTACCTTCATTAAGTAAAATATTTATAGCCACTATAATAATGTGGAATTTTATTTACTGGTAAGAAAAAGTTCATAAGGCATTACTGAGGAAAAAATCAGTTTATAATACACTATGTATAATGTGTTTCCACTTTTTCTTTTAAAACATCTTTTATATATTTAAATATATTAATATGCAAATATATAAATACACAAAATATGTTTATAAACATTCTAGAACAATATGGAACAAAATGTTGACACTGGTTATCTCTAGGATTTTAAGTCATTTTTATATTCTTTGTATTTGTATAACAGGGTTTGTTTCTTTATTTTATTTTTATTTTTTTGACATGGAGTCTCTCTCTGTTGCCCAGGCTGGAATGTGGTGGTGTGATCTCAGCTCACTGCAACCTCCACCTACCGGGTTCAAGTGATTCTCCTGCCTCAGCCTCCTGAGTAGCTGAGATTACAAGTGCCTCCCACCACACCCAGCTAATTTTTGTATTTTTAGTAGAGATGAGGGTCTCACCATGTTGACCAGGTTGGTCTTGAACTCCTGACCTGAGGTGATCTGCCTGCCTTGGCCTCCCAAAGTGCTGGGATTATAGGTGTGAGCCACCATCCCCAGCCAACAGGGTTTCTTTGTCATCAGAAAAGGCAATAATGCTATCGTCATCTTATGAAAAACATTAGATTAAATAAAAGCACATTTCTCTCTAAGAACACAGATCTGGGATTATAACATGAGTCAAGTGGGAATGAAAAGAATTAGACAGGTTACACAGAGTCTTCTATTGCCCAGCTCTCTTGTGGCCCTCAGAGCTGTCTTCGCTTGCCAGCCCGTGCCCACCACAAGCCCCCTAACCTCAAGCCCTGGTACTCAGCACCACCAGCCTGGGCTGAACGCTCTCCTGGAGCTGGACCTACATGGAGAAAAAAATGTGTAAGCAGTGAGTCCCAGCTGCTGGGGAGGCTGAGGTAGTGTTTCTGTCCCTCCAGCAGGAAGCCACTGTCCCTCCAGCAGGAAGGAGACTTACACATGTGTACAGTCTCTGGGCACAAGAGTTTTCCTTTCTCTTTCTTCCCTCTCTTCCTCCTCCCTTTCTCTTTCCTTCCCTCACTTCCACTTCCCTTCCCTCATTTTCTCCACATCTCCCAAGCACCTGGATGTCATGAGGGACATAGTGATGAATCACCCCAGGCCCTCTCAAGGGACCTGCAACTACAGAGAGAAGCAGGTGAGTCCTAGAGTTCACCTCTGTGTACTCCGTACCCCGAGGGAGGGCCTCCTGGAGGAAGTGACCTCGGCACTCCGTCCTGAAGGAAGAGAAGGAGTTGGTCAGGAAAGAATGGACAAGAGCTCAATCCTGATGGGCAAGTTGGTTGGTGCTATGGGTTCCTGACTGGCCCTTCTGTTACACAGAACCAAGCCTGCCCAGAAAATGGCTTGACGCCCTTCCTTGGCTGGGGTGAGCTCCCCGGCAGCCCAGCCTACCCGGCCCTACGACGGCAGCAGGCCTTGGCTGATGCTCACCCCATAAACACAGCTGAGTCAGGGTCTGTTTTGGTGCTTGGGACTTCCTGGAGGGCCTTGCACAACTGCCCCTGCCAGGTCATGCCCAGGTTTTATCGTTCTCACCGTCGGCTTGGCAGTTCTTCCTTATTTTGAATCCAGATCCTTCCTGCTGCAGTCAATCCAGGGTCTTTTGCTTTATCTCCAAGGTTTTCAAAAATGAAGAAAAACTCGTCTCCTTGTTCTATAGGAGATCCACTGTTCAGCTAGAAAGCTGTGATTAGGTCTGTCCCTCCTTTATCGTTAAGCCTTTGGGCTTTAAGCAAAGATGTGAGGTCTGCTTTAAGCAGGAATGGACTTTGGGATCTTTATCATCACTCTCGTCTCAACCATGGACTTCCCTGGGCACCCAGATCGATTTGCCATGTGGGGGCCATAAGGGAATTGAAGACCAATCCAGAGGTGATTAGCTCATATAGAACATTGATTGTCTCTGTGGATAAATCCACTACCCTCTCCAATTTTCTCCTGGTGACAGTTTTAAAAGGTATCCCATAAGAAGATAGATCTTGGAGAGGTCAGTTTCAGGATGAGCCAACCTTGAAGTTATGCATGGGAGGTGGAGAACAGGATGAGAAGACTGGAGCAAAGGTGACGAGGCTCATTAAGATCACTCAAAGAAAGGAGAACAGATAAACATCCAGGGTTGTGTAATTTAAAAATGTTTTAATACATTCTTTGCCGGGCATGGTGGCTCACACCTGTAATCCCAGTACTTTGGGAGGGTGAGGTGGGCAGATCACTTGAGGCCAGGAGTTCGAGACCAGCCTGGCCAACATGGCAAAAACCCATCTCTACTAAAAATACAAAAATTAGTCAGGTGTGGTGGTGCATGCCTGTAATCCCAGCTACTCATGAGGCTGAGGCAGGAGAATTGCTTGAACCTGGGAGGCTGAGGTTGCAGTGAGCAGAGATTGTGCCATTGCACTCCAGTCTGGGCGATAGAGAAAGACTCCATCTAAAAAAAAAAATACATTAAATTCAACAAAGGACAGAGAAAGATGGATTGGAGGGAAGTGCTGGACACAATCAGAAGGGAGCATCCATTGGGGAAGTTGGGTTGGAAGAGTTGCTATAATGTTGGAGGTGGGAGTCTTGCAGGATGATCAGAATCCAGAACTGTTGCCTGGGCAGCTCCCAACAGAGCCAGTGGGGACAGAGGGGCCCTGAGGTTGGGGACGCAAAGGACTTTGGGGTCAGTGTTCCTACACAGGCCTTTATCTCCTTCCTGTAGTCTGTCATCGTGGATGGGAGCCTTCAGTGGAGGGCCCACATGTCAAGCACTGTCCTCCTACTCCACTGTTCACTCATCTGTCGAAGCCCTTTGATGGCATTCTGAGTGTTCTCTAGCTCCAATGCGCTGCCCACCTTAAGTTCCTGTAGGGAGCTGGAGGAATAGTTGGGACATTCGCCCCATGTAACTTCTGCCCTCTCCCTGCGCTTTTAACTTCTGATTCATCCCGTCATGCAGCTTCACCTGTGGGTGCCCAGGGCATGTTCTGGTATCTTCCCTCATGCCAAAATCAATTCAGCCCAGAGAGGAGGTAGCTTTCACTGGCTGCTGGGTCCAGAGACAGGACAATCAGAGACCCCTCTCAGGGCCTTTGCTTTGTTTTTTTTTTTTTCAGCTGGAGTCTTGCTGGGGCAGTTTTCTCTCCTGGGAGACATTTGGCAAGATCCGAAGACCTTCTTAGTTGTCACAGTGGGGTGGGCATGCTCCTGACCACTCACATCCAGTGGGGAGAGGCCTCAGCTTCTTTCCTCCATACCTTCCCTCAAGCTGTTCCTGGCACGCCTTTCTCCACCATGCCAACCTGTTAATCCTCCTCTCAGCTGAAATCATGCCACTTTCTTCTTCAGATCTGCCACTCTCTAGCGGGGTGACTTTTAGGCAAGTGATTTGACCTCTCTGAGCCTGAGTTTCTACCTTGTTACAAAACAAATCCTTCCTTTGTGGTCAGCTGTTTTCATGAAGAGGACACACGGTGATGGGCAGACAAGGAAGGACCGGGCTTAGCTTCGTGCTTGGCTCCTGGGAACACCCGGTTCAT